TGGATAGATGAGACTTTGTCTCAAAGAAACTAAAAGCAAAACCAAACCAAACCAAAAAGTTTAAAAAAAAAAAAAAAAAAAAAAAACTGCTTGCAGTTCAAAGTGGTTGGGAGGATAAAATGAGGCAGTGTATGTAAACATGTAAACACTTGATCTTGCTGGGGTGTTAGTTAGTGGTAGCTCTTAATTTCAGATTTGTGGGATAAAGAGATTAGTCATGAGAGGGAAATTCTTCAGCAGTCTTTGCACCAAACTCTCAGAATCTTAGCAAAGGACAGGGCATCTTCATGAGAAGGATGGATGAGTGCTCAGGGAGGGAGCTGGTAGCCTGGGAGGGCTATGGATTCCTTGTCAAGCAAGTCTTGTTCTGTGCCCCAGGTTCATGTGAACTTGCTGCTCCTCGAGGCCCGCATGCAAGCCGCCCTGCTCTACGCCCTCCGTGCCATCACCCGGTACATGACCTGACTCACTCCCAGGCAGGACCAGCACCCAGAGCAGCTCACCCTGGGGCACTGTTCTCTGCGAGGACTTCTATGACTTGAGACAGATCCAGGACCTTTCTGTCTCATGCCCATCCTAGGGGGACATGTGTGTGATGTGCAGCCCCCAAGCTGAGCTACACTCTCCTTTTTCTCACTGGAATGGACAGGATCACTGCACTGATTCTGGGGTCTCAGCTCTGCCCCTGGAGCTGGAAGAGGACTAGGAAAGCCCAAGGGGTCATGCCCCTCTTCCTGCCCCTAGAAGCAGAGAAAGGAAGGGTTAATGGGCTGAGCTCAGACTTACATGCCAGCAGGCTAGGCTATAGGTACAAGTACTAGGGCCTTCCTGCACTGGGAGGCCCCTGGCTGGCCCCTGTGGGAGAGGCAAAGACCTCCAGGGACTTAACACTCCAAGGAGCTTGCCTTCCTTCCCACCTCATCTGATTTCATTACCTCCCACCTGTTCTTCACCCATCAATGTGAAAGTTGGGGTCACAGCTGGTCTGTGTGCCACGTTCCCCCAAAGCCCATTCTTTTGGACAGCCTGTTCCCTGTTTGCCTGAATTCTGGTTCAGTTCTTTTTTTCTCCTTTGACCTCATACCCTTTTCTCCCATGCCCAGTGGTGTGAGGCCTAGGAGAGGAACGAAACACATCCAAAGAGCACACTGTCTCTGGAGAGTTGGAGCCCATGTTGGCTGCTCTGCCTTCTGAAGAGGGAATAGGCGATAATGAACTCTGCATTTGGGTCCCTTATGGATAAGGTCTGACCTCTTAAGGGCCTCACCATAGAGCCACAGTCAAGACCTGGGAGGGAGGATGAGGTTTTATTCTAGACACTGTCACCATGTCCTCCTGACCCCATGAGCTATGCTGAGAAAGCTTGCCAAAAATTGATTCTTTTGAAGTAGCACCGGGGCCCAAAGTAAGAGGCAGATACCAAGGTTCTCATGACCGTATTGCTACACCTCTTTGACCCCACAGTTGTAGACTGAGGGGTTGGCTTAAGTTTCCCAAGACTTGATGCGATGTCCTAGGCTCTCAGGCCAAACCACCACCAACAAGCTGATTTTCTTGCAAGATCTTGAAAGCCTCTGGAGACCTTTATTCTATAGTCAGCCTCTCCTGGCTGCCTTCCAAGGGACACCACCCCCATCTCAATGTCCCACCTGTCCCCTTCTCTGGATTTTTGATGGATTACTTGGTGGCAGAAGCAGCCAACGACTGATCCCAGGCACTTTGCATAGCAAACAACTGTGAATTCTGACTTCTCTTGTCCCTCTTAACAGTAGGTGCCTCTTCTCGACTAGTTCAGAGGTGCCCGAGAAAGGCATGGGCTGTGCTGTTGCTATTTCTGACCCTCCTCCCTTGGGTCAGGTGGACAGGAGCCTGGCCACAGTGCACATTTCAGACCGTGCAGGCACGGGAAGCCACTAGCATCCCCTCCAGGCTTGAAAGCCTTCTCTGCAAAGAAGGTGGGCAGGAGGGGAGGGGGCCCCAGCATGGGGGTTAAGTTCTAGAGGGGACATGATTCTGTAACTGTCCCTTGTGTGGGTGGGAAGGGGTATCCAGTGTTAAAGTGCAGAAATCTTTGGCCTTGTGACCAGTTCTAGGTGATGAGAAATAAAAGTTACTGAGTTGTTTTGTAGTCCTTGTTAATGGGATGTTTTTCCATTTCCTGAAGGTCAGAGTTCACCTAGTCCAAGTTGGGAGGTATGGTTGCATCATGGACTTGACCTGCTGGCCCCTATCCTGCCTGTGCTTGTGCCCAGTGATTGCAAGACTGGGAATTGTTGGCACTAGAAGTGTATTTGGGATGAGGTGGAAGCTCAGTGGTAGAGTTTGCCTAGTATGTGTGAGACCTGGGTTTGATCCGTAGCACCACAAAACAAAGTCACTTGGGTGGCCAGTCCTGCCATCTATCTGAGGCTGGGCTGGCACTATGGAAAAATAAATGGCCATGTTTTTCTAACTAAGGCTGGCCCTGGCCTGGGTATTGGGGCGGGGGCACATCTCTGAAGCTGTAGCAATCTTGGAAGAGAATTGAGATTGTGGTGAAATGATATTGCTGAGGCCAAAGAGCCAGGATTCCATTGGGGTTTGCTTAGCACTTGATCTTGCTGGGTTTTCCCTATTAGACGTCCCTTGTTTCAGAGGGAGGAGCTTTGACAACCTGAAGGACCCCCACACATACACCTCATGATCATATGCTCCTTCCCTATCCAGAATTGAGAATGCAGGGCTATTGTGAGGAGTTAAATTCAGGGAAAGAAACAATACAAGATGAATCAGATTGCAGTTCTTACAGAGGACCCAAGTTCTATTCCCAGCACCATATCAGACAGCTCCCAACCACCTATAACTACAGCTTCAGGGGATCTGACACCCTCTTCTGGCCTGTGCATTCACCCACAGACACAAGCTCATACACTCACACACACATGTATGCACATAAACAAAAGTAAAAGAAAGAGTTAAACGCAGAGCTGGAGAGATGGCTCACTGGGTAAGAGCACTTGCTGTGCAAGCGTGAGGACCTGGATTCAGATCACCAACACCCATGGAAGAAGCTGGGATGGCTGGCTGCCAGCAGGGGCAGGGGCAGGAGGATTGCTGCGACTTGCTGGCTGCCAGCCTAGTTCCAAGTTCATTGAGAGATGATATCTCAAGGGGATAAGGCAAGAGTGACACAGCAGGATACAAAATGCCCTCCAGCCTCTGCACACCCCCACATAGTTAACACACAATTTTTAAAATACACAGAAGGGCTAGAGAGATGATGGCTCAATAGTTAAGAGCACTGGCTGCTCTTGCAGAGGACTCAGGTTCGGTTCCCAGCACCTGCATGGCAGCTAACAACTTCATAATTCTAGTTCAGGGGATCTGATGCCATCTTCTGACCTCCCTGGGCAATGCATACATGGGTGCACTTACATACATGCAGGCAAAACACTCATATACATAAAGTAAATAAATTTAAAAATACATAGAAAAATACTCCAAAAGTGAAAATAATTAAATGCATCCCCCGAGCTGTGTCTGCATTTGAAGGTACTGACCTTGGTCAAGCTACTCCAGGTACCAGGAACTAGTAAGGGCATCAGGAAAACCACATAGTGACTAAGCTAAGACTTCTCCTGCTGGCTTCCCATTTACTCTGAACACTACCATCATAACCTGAAAAATGTCTCTTACCAGAAGCTTCCCATGGTAGACTTGTGTTTGTGTCCCCTTTACTTTTGAAGTATCTAAGAATCTTTTTTTTTTTTTGCTACAGGATCTCACGATGTAGCCCTGGCTGACCTGGAACTCACTATGTAGATCAGGCTGACCTTGAACTCAGAGATCTGCCTGCCTCTGCCTCCTGAGTGCTGGGATTAAAGGTGTGCACCATCACACCCAGTCCCACACAGAGGTTTTGAGAATACATGAAGACCACCTAGCACAGTTCAGATATGTGTACCTCACATTAGTGAGCCATTCAGTATTAAGAAATTTGCCCCAAATCATCCAATCAGAACTGGAACCATCAACAAACTAATTCTAGAAATTTGTTTGTGTGTTTGCTGTGTGGGGCTAGAGAGATGGCTCATACACATAATTTTTTTTTTCTTTTTTTGGTCTCCTTGTGGCCCCATCTGGCCTGGTACTTGTTATGTAGACCAGGCTGGCCTCAAATTCAGAGAGATCCACCTGCCTCTGCCTCCCGAGTGCTGGGATTAAAGGTGTGTGCTACCATGCCCAAATAAAAAATTTTTTAAATTGTGTTGTATTTATCTCTTACTTTTCGTGGAGGAGGATGCACACATAGTACACCAGTGGAAGTCAGAGAACAACTTTCAAGCCTTTCAAGCGTCTGTTCTCCAGCATGAGAGTCCTGGGGATGGGATTCTGTTTATCAGGCGTGCTCACAAACACCTGTACCCAATGAGCCATCTCGATGGACTATTTTGTTTTGTTTTTTTAATTCCAGAGTTTTTTGTATCATGTTGCTTTTGTCCCCAGACTCCCTGTTCTCTCAATCTGTGGGTACACGCATCCTTACATGTGTTATGTGTAGAGATCAAAGATCAACATGAAGGAGTTGGTTCTCTCTGCTGTGCCAGACGCAGGATCAAACTGAGGTCATCAACCTTGGCAGACAGGTGCCTTTATACCCATTGAGTCATTTCACCAGCCCTTGATCAGAATTTTAAAAAGCATGTTCTATTCAGTTAGCACATGGAATTGAAAACCCTCACCTCCAGGTTGTAACTAACGAATCTATTTTAAATTTCTGCAACCAGCAATTCAGAATCTGGCACTTTTATCCTTGTTAGAGTTTGTGAAAGGCAGTTAAGGACTAGATTATTTTCTCTCCCCCCCCGCCCCCTTTTCCTTTTTTTCTCTCTTTTTGTTTTCTTTTTCTTTTTGAGACAGTTTCTCAAGTAGCCCATGCAGGCCTCCAGCTTGCTTTGCAGCTGAAGATAGCCTTGAACTCTAGGTCCTTCTGCCTCCACCACACAAGTGCTGCAGTCTGGAGTTCCAAGCCCAGTTTAGGTTTTGTTTCGTTTTATTTTTATTTTATGTGTATATGTGTATTGCCTGCATGTAGGTAAGTGCACCCGTGTCGGGCAATGCCTGTGGAGGACAGAAGAGGCTGTCGGATCCCCCCACACTGGAGTTACGGACAGTTGTTAGCTGCTATGTGGATACTGGGATATCGAACCCGGGTCTTCTGCAAGAACAACCAGTGTTCTTAACTGCTGAGCCATCTCTCCAGCCCCCTTATTTATTATTTTTATTTTATGTATATACATGTGTTGCCTGCATGTAGGTAAGTGCACTCATGTTGTGCAGTGCCCGAGGGGAACAGAGGAGGATGTCGGATCCTCTGGAACTGGAGTTATGGACAGTTGTTAGCTGCCATGTGGGTGCTGAGATTTGAACCCCGGTCTTCTGCAAGAACAGTCAGTGTTCTTAACCACTGAGCCATCTCTCCAGCCCTAGTTTAGGTTTTTTAATTTGCTTGGCTTTGCAGGTTTTGGGGGCTTTTTTTGTTTTGTTTTTAGCCCCAGCTGGCCTGAACTCGCTATGTAGACCAGGCTGGCCTTGAACTCACAGAGATCCACCTGCCTCTGCCTCCCAAGTACTGGGATCAAAGGCATGCACCATCACACCCAGCTGCAGTATTTTTCAATACACTGCAGCATTTTATCTGTTTGGCTGGTAGTGAGTAGAAAAAGAAGATGAATCTCCTGCAAGTTTCAAACATTCACCAGAGCCCTGGGGCAGGAGGATGGAAGAAGTAGTTCACAAACACATACTCTATAATCTCTCAGAGGACCAGTTGTTGGACGCCAGGCTAGGTAATTTGTTGGTTTTTTTTTTTTTTTTTTTTTTTTAAAGACAGGATCTCCTGTAGTCCCCACTGGCCTGGAACTCCCTATGTAGACCAGCCTGGCCTTGATCTAACAGAGATCCTACTGCTAGGATTAAAGGCATGCACCTTAATTTGCATCTTAAACAGCTGCTGTGGTGTTTGCCCATTCAACAGATATTGTGCCTCTAATATTTAACATGCCCTGTAGATACAGTGGTGAACCGAGGACAGTTTCTGCTCTCTTGAGATTGACTGTCAAGTGGAGGAGAAAGATATTAGGTCATTACACAACTACTGATTTACATTGTAATTGTGATCAGCACCTCAAAGAGAGATACAAGGTCCTCAGAGGCAATTCCCAACACAGGAGCAGAACTTTCTCTTCCAAGGAAATAGGTTATTTTCTAACAAAAGCCAGTATATTCAAGATCAGTTTCTCACTCCCCGAAGTACCATCTGGGGGGCCTGAGTTCTCCATGGAACAGTTCTGAGATCTCGTTTGCATTCCTCTAGCGGATACTCTGGCATGCCACCCAGACTGTGGCATGCCTTTCTGGCTTTCCCCCATTCCATTGGGAGTGTTGGTTGCTGAAGGTTTTCCCTAAATCCCTTTCTTGAAACTGTGCTGAAGAAAAAGCTGGCTATGATTGTGTCCCTCTATGTAATGGCTGCAGACACTTGGAAGAGGAATGTACTAAAGTCTGCTGGGCATGGTAGTGCAGACCAGGATGAGGAGGCTGAAGCAAGGCGATCTTGTTTGAGACAAGCTCTAGCTGTAGAGCATGTTTAAGGACAGCTGAGGCTATACAGCAAAAGCCTGGGTCTCCTTGTGGGTTGGTTGTTTTGAAACAAGGTCTCATGTAGCCTAGGCTGGCCTCCAACCCTTTATGTAGCTAAAGCTGCCTCTGCCTCCTGAGTACTGGGATTTTGGCACCATGCCCCGTTTATATGATGCTGGGGATTGAGCCCAAGTTTTGATTTGATGCATGCTAGGCAAGTACTCTACCAACTGAGCTACATCCCCAACCCCAAGACCTTGTCTCAACAACAAAAACAAAAGGCAAACTGGAGAGATGGCTCAGTGGTTAAGAGCACTGGCTGCTCTTGTAGAGGACCCAGGTTCAATTTTTAGCACACGGGGGCTAACAACTGTCTGTAACTCCAGGGGCTCCAACACCCTCTTCCGATCTCCTCAGGCATTGCATGGCACGGGCATACTTACATAAATAAAAATTTTTTAAACATTTTTTTTAATGTGTATACATGTATTGCCTGCATGTAGGTAA